TTGAACTCAAAACCCTGGGTTTAGCAGGCCGTTGATTTCACGGAGGGAGGGGGAAGCAAATGAATAAAGAACAAATCTATTTTTTACATCTTAAGCTGGCAGCCAACGGTGCAGCATGACTGATAGCCCTCGGCATCTTCTGGGTGCTTGGCAGAAAATACTGGGCGCTTGGCAGAAAATAGTGTACTTCGACTGATAGCCGCCATCATCATTGGGAAGGCAGCAGAATATGACTGGGGGGACATACGGAGTTTCAGCCATCATCTGATTGAACTGCAGTATGATGACGATGGATACCAGTCGTAATACACCATCTACTGCCAAAAGGCAAGGGGCTGCTGCTGTGTAGCAATGCAGCCCCACGTCTGCCAGCACCCGATCGCCGATGAAGGCTACCAGTCATACTGCACCGTCTACTGCCAAAAGGCAATTAGCTGCTGCTGTGTAGCAATGCAGTACCACATCTGCCGGCACCCAGATGACATATGATGACGGTGAGCTGAGCTGAGCTGAGCGGGCTCCATGCTTGGCGTGGTATGTTGTCTGCACAAGTAACCCAGGTAAAAAGGCGCGAATCGATTGTCTGCCGTTGCTCTGACGGAGGGAGAGGGGCCTGACGACATGTACCCAGAACCCCCCGCGACACTGTTTTGCATCATTCAGGCATTGGGATCTCAACCCAGAATTCCAATGGGCGGCGGAGACTGCGGGAACTGTGGGATAGCTACCCATAGTGCAACGCTCCGGAAGTCAACGCTAGCCTCGGTACTGTGGACGCGGTCCGCCGACTTAATGCACTTAGAGCATTTTATGTGGGGACACACACAATCGGCTGTATACAACCGATTTCTATAAAACCGGCTTCTATAAATGTGACCTAATTTCGTAGTGTAGACATACCCTGAGATAGCTGTGGATAACCTGGTAGATCTTCTAATCCCACCTATGGTCCCTCTCTGCCTCCCCTCTCACTAGTATAAATCAGTAGTAACCTCAATGAAATCCATGCAGCTGCACCAGTGCTGAATAGGGTTAAGTGAGGGCCTTAGCACCTAAACTATGCCGTTATCCATGATCCTGGTCCCTGGCTCCCTCTCCTTAGAGAGTGCAACCACAGGAAAGGGAGGGCACAACCTCAGAAGATGCCATAGCAGCCTGGAGTCTGTTGAGGGAGGGCTATCTTTCAACCCCTGTGGAGTACGCTGGCTCCAAGGAGAAGGGACAGCAATTTCCACTTCTGATTCATACAAGGGAACTGGTATATTAATGGAAGGAAAATCAATTGACTCCACATGTTTTCAGCCCGGAGCCAAATCAAGGAAGGGACCAGTGAAATTGTACAACTCAATTATACACATTCATGCAAAGGAATTGGAATTGTTTACAGATCGTATCAATAGTTCAAAGAAATCCTGGTGATCTGTGCTGGCAGCAGTACAGATGTGATTGGCTTTATTGGCCTGGCTGCCGAGCGCACACAGCTGCTTTGTCTGCCAACATGCAGTCCCTTTGCCACAGCTTCTGTAAAGTGCTCTGAAATACGGTGTTCTGTGTGTAATACGGTCTGGTGCATCATAAGTACTATAGCCGAATACCAGGCCAGTCCGACACAATAAGAACAGTGAAGACGCTTCAAGGACCTTTTATATAATTTTTTTGGTAATGATGTTATTTTAAGGACCCGATTTAATGTCAAGTGAAGTAAACAGAAAGTTTCTCATCAACTTAATTGTGTTTTGGATCAGGCCCCATGTTACAACAAGGACAGATGCTAAAATGTACAATCTCATTTGCATTAAAGATACTATAACCTTGGATCCATTACAATTTTGCATAGTACATGCAACTCAAAGAGTACAAACAAAAGGAGCACCCAAGTAGAAATGACAAAGCCGTCATATAGGACTGCACAGTGTTTAAGGCAACTAACATCATGTATAAGATCAGACAATGAGAAATATTACTTATGACAAGGATTATCAAAAGACATGTGTAGTTTGACTGGCACCAAGAAAGTGATTTTCCAGGGAATCTCTTGGATGTTTCTTGCTACATTAGAATAATGAAAGGACTGGCTCATTTTACAAGCTTAAAATAGTTTTGCTACCTGCAAGATTCCAGATTTCTTGAACATTAAGAAGAATGGTCCTGAACAATCTTGTGGTCCATACAAATCCTCTGGCACTTTTTTGCACAAGCAGGAGTGTTAGCCTTGGTTAAATTCCAACTCCAGTAATTGGCCTACCTCCCTCAATGTAACTAATGCAATGTGCTTTATATGAGGCGCCATCTAAAATCTATCCAGAAACTGAAGCTGGTGCAGAATTCCGCAGCTCGTTTGTTACAGGGTATGTCCCGTGGGGAACACATGACACCCGTGCTTTTGGATCGGCCCAGGCAACCTATCAGGTACCATGTACAATCTGAACGATGCGCTTTGCCCTATAAGGCCCTCAATGGCCTGGGACCTAATGAACACGCTATGCTGACACAGTTGGGACTGTGGAATAGGGACAACTGGGTTGGCACCCCAGAGAGGGGGGCAGGGTATTCTGTCAGGGGCCTGCCAATCTAAGAGTCGTACCCCACGTTGGTCCAAAATATCCTTAGTGTATTGACCTTCAGGACAGGCGGTAAGGTCCCTTTTGTGTTCCTGAGCTAAGAAGAACTGGGAGGAATCTTACGGGGGATTGTAAGATTGTGATATTACTGTCAGGTGCTGGGTGGTGAGCACAGAGTCTCTTTATACCACTGTATTTTTAAAATGAGTCAAGGAGTGTCATGTGCTCTTTTATTCTGAACATGGGTTTAAATCAAAAGAATAAATTCTATGTGCAATTTCAGAGCTGACTGACTCATTCATCGCTTCCTATCTTAAGCATGTGTGTAGCATTGCTGTGCACAATTCATTTCACCTCACATGTGGCTGCGTTTCATTGGTGTGGGCTGTGATCCCTGTGTACACCTTGTGTAGCAGTTGGTAAAGGAAGACTAAGGGAGAGAATTGCTGCTTTTTATCCAGGATCAATGTTCATTGCTGAGACAAGCCAACAATAGCACAAGTGCTCCCCTCTGTTCCACAAGCAATAATCATGCTAATCACGCCTGGGAGGCTCACACGGAGAGGAGCCGGGGCTCTGCATTGCATTGACGTGTGAGGAAAGGGAAGCCCCACCATTTGAACAGTG